GAATTTTTGCATCAATAATCTGTTTGTATAATCGTTTTTGCACCAGCGGTTTTTTGATGAATAAGTGAATAGGTGGGAAGTGTTTGGGAAGCAAACTGAAAATGTTGAGACATACATGTACCAGTCTATTTTTGAATAGGGTTTTTTTTATGGCGCCGAGGGATGCTGAATACTTTGTTGCTTTGATCAATATTGCACCGTCTGGTGGTCAGTCTATTGGCAGTGCTGACGGTTGTTTTGGCTGCTGTAAGAATTTCCAATTCAGCGGTTTTCATAACCTAAGCATTTGAAAAGATTTTAGCTGGCACTGGTGTCTAGAATGCTGCCATTCGTTGACTACGGCAAGGTACCTTAATAAGTAGGAGAAGACACTGAACACTGAAAAAAATGCTTGGTTTTTCGGCTGTTAGACGGCTTTTTGAGAAGAAAGTAGGTATCACTGGCTAAGTGAAGCTTTTTTAGTTGGCGAATTTCACTCAGAAGCATTGCAAGTGCCGCATGGTTGCCGATTTGGGCATATAAACGATCGGCAACTATGCAATGATTATGCGCACTGGAAAGATGCTGCATACAAGCAGTGCAAAACTAAGGTATATTTTTGATTGATTTATCAGCGATTTTTTCACCGCAAATAGTTGTGTATAATAAAGTTGCGTGACCTGGCAGTGAAGAGTTGTGCAGCCTCACGTAGAAGGTAACTGATGTCTCTACTTCTCTCTTGTATCAACATGTATCAGTTTCTTGCACACTTTTCATCCATCTATCTACACGAATTATACGCTTGGAAATCATCCGAGTGACCGGTTGCTTTCGCACTAGAGTCTGGAGCACGTTGTGCACTAATTATCGGTAAAATATTGTGTGTGTTTTATCCGCATCGAGCCCCTTTCTTCTTGTTCCCTAGTATTGCAGAAATTCGGAAAAAACTGGCTTTCATAGGTATTAGTATTTAGGTAGTTGGAGACAAACGAATGTCAGCACGATCATTTGCTGTTCTCGAACCGTGTGGATTGGACCTGTTCACTGGGGTTGAATTTGTTTGCTGTCCAGGCGATGAAAAAACAGAAGGTTCGTTTTTACTTCATTCTGTGACCTGCTAAAATCGCAAAAGCTGCTTGTAATGTTAGTTATTTTATTGTGACGACTTTGGCTTCAGAACTGGCTAAAAAAGAAATAGAAGAAACGGAGGATGACGATGACGATGACTATGATGATGATAACGACGATGAATACGTTGACGATGCTGATGACAGTATGATCTGGCTTACAACAAATCATTTTCATTTGATAACGTTTTGAACATTATATTTTCAATAATACATACAATTTTTTTCGCCCATTTATTTTAGCTGATATCAAAGATGCTTCGATGAAAAGTGTTTCGCAGGATCCATATTTTAAATTGTCTGATCCTGCCAACGAACATGAACGTTTCAAAGAAGCGCAGCAACGCCTAGAAAAGCGTCATCGTGCAAAAATCAATAAGGTTGCTTTTTAAAAAATCGTTTGAAATAGGACTGTTTGGACCATTGACTCGGGCAGATTTTATGTCCGAAATGCTTTTGTTCTGTTAGGGCATCATTTACGCAGCTGAATGCTGCATCTGCAGGTGATGCGTGAATGGTCTGATTTGGAGACGCGTTACAAGAAAATGAAAAAGACCGATGAGAAAGGCGCTGAAGCATTCAAACGAGAAATGACCTCGCGATTCCAAAAAACGGTTAGTCTCGTCTACTAGTTCTGAGCTGGGCAATTTTTTTGTCAGTGATTTCTTACTGTGCTAGTTAAATCACAATGAAAATTCTTTGACGTGGAGAATTAATTCAAACAGAAGCTGCATCAGACGATGCCCTTGAAGTTTGCTTGCTCTGAAATGTTTGCCCTTCATTTCAGGTTGCTTCATTAGAAGAGGAGAATAAGGAGCAGAAGAAGCAGCTTGAAGACGTCCATGAAGAGCGGGTGCAGGCACACCTTAATGAAAAAAAGAGACAGGTAAAAACTGTACTGTTAGTGTTGCTACTCGCTGATCAGCTGCTGTTCATTTCATTATCCTCCATTCGCGCATCTGACACCTTTTACATTTGCTTTGACCAGTGTTGCGTCATCCGATGGCCAGCGTGCTGGCGATCCTGACGTTCGTTTCATCTACTGATGGGATAACCAGCTCGGTGGTTTTCCTGTTACAAGCACCTGCAAGGTTTAGCTATTTCGAATCGTCATTCGTGAGCGTCGTCGTCTCGTTCCGAATTTTACCACTTCTGGACCGCCTTGCGATACTTTGTTAAAGTTTTTTTATATTAATTTCCAGTCCAAGAAAAATGTATGATCAGTGGGAGGTGCTCTGTTTTGTTTTTCGAGCAAAAAAGTACTATCGGTGGTAGTGCACCAGCTGCGAGTAGAATCTGCGAGTTTTAGCTAACTTCCATGAGTAAGCCAATTTCGCTTTCTTCTGTCGTTGTTGATGTCTAATAGTAGTTCTGAAAACTCCAAAAATGGTTTCGGTCTGTAGCCAGGTGAATTTTGAGTGAAGTGGTAAGGTACAGTGTGATACATTCATTCATTCTGTAGGGCATATATATATATATATACATGTATATATATATATATATATATTCCACACGTTTAGTTGCATTCATACATATAGGATTAATAAACCAAATTGCAATGGTTCTAGACGAGAGACCACAGTGCGGAAATTACTGTGTCTCATTGACAAAATTCATCACGGTTGTCTTGCAGCTGATGATCTGTGTGTGATAGCACTTGACTACTGCTATCACTAGAACTACCACCACATTGTTTCGGAGACAATAAATTAGTCATTTTTTTCCTTCAAAAGTGTTTCAGTGATTCAGTCTTTTCATCTCAGTTCAGAAGCTATTTTTTTTTCAGGCAACGCATGATTATCGGGCGGCGTTAGCTGTACAAGTGGGAAAAGCAAACAAGCACAATGTGCTTAAAACACTCAAGGTGAAGCATTCGTAATGTTTGCTTTAATTTTTCATAATGAATTGCATCCGATCAGTAAAATTAAAGAGAAATATTCTTAATCAATTTAGATTTACCTTTCAATATGAATTTCGACTAGTTCTATAAAGAAAACAAGACAGAGATTTTAATTATCACAAAAAAAAAAATTAAATTGGAAAGTTCAGCAAATGCAAATCCGTAAGACAGTGCTATCCCGGTGAAAATGCCTGAATCTTGAGAGATTTACCAACGCCTGAGATTGGAAAATTGCAGTATTTCTTAAACTCTGCAATGCAGTAATGAAATGAAAAGAGAATTTTGTTCAAAAACTTTAACGCTTTAATACTGCTGAGCGTTGATAAGGACACAGAAGCGTAGAGCTGACTTGCGCTTGGCATGTAGTTAAATTTTAGTAACACTGTAGAAAGAATGGGGCGTGTCTTTTCTGTTTAAAATTTGATAATTTTAGACATATATTCGTGCAGAAGAGAAAGATCGTACACATATGATCAATCGTTTTCGACACTTGCTTCGCACGGATCGGGTAACCTGCTTTTTTTTAAGTTTCCTTCCTCTTCGAATTTCTCAATAAAGCTTCCTGAGGTCTGCTTCTAAACTTCGTTTGGCTGTTGATAAGTGACGGTCTTTTTTTGATAAAGTTGTAATCTTACAAAAACTTGCTACTGGACCATAGAAAAGCTTGTAAGGAATGAAAATTATACACTATTAGGATGAAGCAGAAACATATGAACCGATATTGCTTCATCAGTTGCGCTACATTGACCTTCGTATAAATGGTACACTGGCAATGCTTCGAGATTTCCCTGAACTGGAACGACAAGTCCGACCTATAGCTGGTAAATTTTCGATTTCCTGAATTATTCGCGTAGAAACTATTCGTTTGCTTGAATTGTTGTCTAGACAAAAAAAATTATAGCTACAAGTGGAAGCTTTTTGTGTTTCTTGATTGGATGTTTCGTTTCAAAAATCTAAAACTATTGTATTTTGCTTAGAGTAAATATTAATTCGTTCTTTGAGCAGATGAACTGAGATTGGCCAATCTGAGTCTTAATTATCAAGTGCTTCTCAAGTCCTTTTAATATCAGGGACAGCTGTTAAACCACAGTCTTTGTTTCCATCTGTGCATTGGGGTACTTCTTCATATCCACATTTGCTTAGACAAATGCTCTGTCGACTGGTGACCAGCTTACTGACGATCCCGACATTCCTTTCATCTTCTGGGGTACTACGAATTCACCTCTTCCAGCAAAAACACTTGTCAGGGCTTTGGCCATTTTGAAACTTCTCAAGTCGTATGATGATAATAATAATATTGCAGTGGAATTCTGGACAGATTATCGGCGAGAGAACACACCAGAGGTCACCGACGACGAGTATACAGCCATCGGTGGAGATGAGCAAAATGTGAAACTTGTGCATTATTATAAGGTAGGGCTTTGTTCATCGTTTTACCTTCTTCGCAGCACATCTCTATATTCACATTTTATAGTTTATACTGTAGAATTTAACTTCGTAAAATCCCGTAATTGGCCTTGTTCATATTTTCTGATGGAATGGATGGAAAGCATCAGGATTGATGCTAGTGATGTTCAGTTCCAGTCGTAGTGCGTAGTTTCACGAGTGACTAAGTTCTTTCACTTGATGTTTTGATCAGCCGCTGTTTCATCATTTGCTTCTTCTTGCCACTGATACGGCTGGCAATTTCTCCACCTTCCTGTTTTGGGCCACTCTTATATGTTAATTCCAAAGTGAGAGTTGAAGCGGTCTTTCCATATACTGACGGCTTTCCACCTGTTTGTTAGATATTACGTAGATCCATCCACCGTAGCATCGAAAATAATAAAATTATGATGGCAGCACTAGTAGCATAAGACACAGTAGTGATAATAACTGGTAGTGCTCAGTGAAAAAAAATAACAGCTTTGTAGAATATGCCGTTTGTATTTTTGAGATCTTTCACTGCAAATTACAGCGTTTGTTACAGGATTCCTATGACCGACTACACAATTCGGTGTGGATAAAGAAAACAACTCCTTCAACCACAACTTTCTCAAAAGTAGGCTATTTGTGTTTCATCCAGTGGCCTCTACTGGATAAATCTGTCACTTGTTTCGTCACAGTAGAAAAGGATTTATACTTCCGGGACACTTATATTTACACTTTCATTCCTCTTCACGAATTAGTACTTGACACTTAGGGGAAACTTCTTTTCGCTAGATAGTTTACTTTGTATGAAGTTGCTTAGCGGAAATTTTCTAAACTCATTTTTACTCCCTCTCTTATTACAAGTAATATCTTCAATAAAAAAAAATTTTTTTTGCTGAATAACATTCCGCAGCTTGTGTGCACTCTTGCAATGTTTTTGCAA